TTAAAAATCTCCGTTTGTGTTCTACTGAAGAAACAAAGTCACCTACATCTTGGATGCCCTGGGGGTAAGCAGATAAACATCAAATTTTCATTTTTGGGTGAACTATCCCTTTAAGGAACAAATCGTTCTTCCTAATCATTTGAGTCAGTTCACTAAATCGGTCTGACTGATTAGTTCCTAATTCAGACTGATTAAATTCTCGATTTTAATGTGCTGACTCCTATCAGCAATCTTCACAATGTGTTATTGATAAGCTTATCAGTGAATAAAGACTCTCGTTCTTTCTCACAGACTTATCATATGGCATAAACATACCCCACAAGTCATATAGATCACTTTTATGACACTTTTACAGTGCTTTTCAAAACTTCATCCCTTATTCACTATAATTGCAAAAATGTTTCAAATAATGTTTTACTTCTGTGTTCTGCAGAAAGTCTGTCATACAGATTTGGAACATGAGCCTCAGTAAATAATTACAGATTTTTCCTTTTTGCATGAACTATCACTTTAACAGGCATATAACTGACCATTTCTTTAAATAATGCTCAAACAAACACTATAGTGTGAACTGCAAACTTCATGCCACAGTATCACCAACAATTTCTGCATTTATTGTGCACTGCTTATATGCCTACGTCTCTGCAAATGAGAGCCCTGCAGGACAAGTGCGTTTAATAAAAGGCCCACATCCAGCTTTTAATTACAGAGCTGCACTCTTCAACCCTGCACAGGGCACAGACATCTCTATGGTGACCACCACAACACTAAGCACACGGGTGTGTCCACGGCTGAGCATTAACACACCAGCCATTTCAATATACTTTCATACTGATTGTGAATTGATAATGATGCATCAGAGCATATATCTGCATGCATGTCTGTGTTTGTGCATGTAAGTACTACAGGAATGCTTGTAAACCGTCTAGTCAGTCATTAAGTAGGGCTGGAGGTGTTTGGCAGGCATCTGTTTGCCAGTTCTCAGTCTTGTACCTTGTTCCAGCACATGGAGGGGACAGCTTTCGTTTAACATCACAATGCATATGGGCGATCATGCATATCAGCCAGATTTGTATTAATGATTAAAAGCTGCAGTGCTTTTGTTCATGCTCCACTTAAAGCTGAGGTTAGATCAAGAAATAAATGGGTAGATCAAGTTAAAACACTTGAATTTATATGGTAAGTCTTAAAAATTAGGCAATATGTGTGACTTTGGTAGGGTATATCATAGTTCATTGCAACATAACTTTCGCTGTAACTTTCAAAACTCAAAACTTCCTTCTCTAATCCAAAAAGACCATTTATTGGTACTAAGATGCAAAAACAATAATGCTGCCAATTTGATAATCAGAAACTTGGCCTATATTATTCCCAAACACTAAAAAAACTAACAATAAAATGGTAGAGTGTGTTAAACCTTGTGCACTTAATGTCATTCTAAAGAATGCCAATCTGATATGAGATCTTTTTAAATATTTTATTTAGCATGGATTAAAAAGTGACAGTAAAAAGACATTTATAATGTATAGGCTAAATGCTTTTTTTAAAAACTTTCTATTCATCAAAGAATCCTGAAAACAATGTTTCCACAAACTGATTTGCAAAACTGTTATCAATTTTGATAAGAAATGTTTGTTGACCAACAAATCAGCATATTAGAATGATTTCTGAAGGATCATGTGACACTGAAGACTGGAGTAATGATGCTGAAAATTCAGCTTTGCATCACAGGAATAAATTACATTTTAATATATATTAAAA